GGGCTGCTGTATGGTTTTATCGAGAATTTAGAGTTGAACATAAAAAAAACTTTTAAAAAATCACATTTACACTACTTCGAATCCTCAAATTAGCCACCGTTTTGCTTTGTGAAAAAATATTTAATAGCATATTTTCTTTTGCTACATAATTCCAGATAGGGGTGTGCAAAAATATCTAAATATTGACATATCGTATCACCTAATTTGGTGATACAGTATCGATATCGTGGGCTGCTGTATCGATATATCGTCACAAGTATTTTTTGGTATATTTTACTCAATTATTTTGTTACAGTTTTGTTGTTTGTTTAGTGAAAAGAAACTCGTTTATGCAACACATTTGACATTTTCACTGTTTTGAGGATTAAAATGTTTGTGTTTCATATTAACTTTGCAAAAGAAGATTTAACAAAGAAGAAGATTTAACAAAGACTTTTAGTATCCCCCACGCTCCCTTCGGGGTCACAGTGACCCGAAGACATTTTTTTTTTCCTTCCAGCTCTCTTGGGGTGGGTCAATCAGATCCAAAAATTTATTTTCAAATAAATTCTTGCCAGGCAAGAAAATAAATTTTTGGGTCTGATTGACCTGCCCCAAGAAAGAAGAAGGAAAAAAAAAATGTCTTCGGGTCTATGTGACCCCGAGGAGAGCGTGAGGGGTATCACAGCCATGATTTAACCATTATTTATATTGAACCATATCGAATCAATTTGAAATATATTGTATTGAATTGAAAGTGCACTGTATGGAGGTATGTATCGTATCGGCAACTTTTTCATGATACCCAGTCCTATTTCCAGATGTCTTGCTTCATATATTTGACGTCTTTTGCATATAAAATGTAGAAAGTAGTAAAAAAAAAATTTAAAAAAACAACAACATTTGACTGTTAGTGTATGTTTCGAAGTTTTCAGCTTGTCCAAGAAAGGGTGGAAGTAAAAGTCTGGAGACCAACTGGACGTCTTACGCAGGAGAAATTTATTTACCATCAATAATTCGGGCCCGGGGGGACATGAAAAGTCAACATAGTCTGATTTCAAAAGAGAACATAGTATGATCTTTGAGTGTTAAAGCCCCTTGACTCTGCTTCCGGAAGAGGAGGTTTATAAAGCAAGTGTGGTGAGACTGTGAAGGCCAGTAGACACCGGTTAGTCAGCAATATGCCACAATTTAGATAATGGTTCATGGTGTAAATTTAGCTTTTGTGAGTCAATGTTAAACCGAGATGTACGTGGAAGATATATTACTTAAATTCTCTTACAGTGTATTTCTCCAAAGTCCAAACTTTACCCCAAATAAACAACATTCCTTGACTAACTGATTTAAAAAGAACCAAGCTGATGACAATGTTAATGATTTTTGCTGCTCTATAGACGACTAGTTTCATAATTTCATAATAAAAACATCAAAATTTTGTTCAGAATTCACTTTTTTGTATGGACTTTTTTGTATGATTGTTTGAAAAATCTGACAGTAAATATGAACGTTTACTTGCACAATTCATAATAAAAACAAAATGTCGGTTTAAGTTTTACTGTGTCTTTATAGATTACTGTACTTTTGTAATTAACAAACTTTTGAGGAGAAAATTCAGTTTGTCGACTGGACAAAGCTGCGAAACGTCTTCAACCAAACTAACTTTTGTTCATGGATTCTACCTGGACGAGGGATTCTTCACATACCACAATTTTGTTGAGAATTCACTTCTTTGTACAAAGTTTTTGCTTGTTTTGAAATTCCCACCGTAAATATGAACGGTTATTTGCACAATTCATAATAAAAATAAAATGTTGGTTTAAGTTTTACTGTATCTATATAAATAACTCTACTTGTTTAATTAACAAACAAACCACAATTTTGTTCAGAACTCACTTTTTGTTTCAAAGTTTCATAATAAAAACATATGTATCAAAATTTTGTTCAGAATTCACTTTTTTGTATGAAGTTTTGGCTTGTTTGGAAAATTCCACAGTAAATATGAAGGATTATTTGCACAATTCATAATAAAAATAAAATGCTGGTTTAAGTTTTGACTGTATCTTTATAGATTACTGGACTTTTATAATTAACAAACAAACCACAATTTTGTTCAGAATTCACTTCTTGTTTCAAAATTTCATAATAAAATCATATGTATGAAAATTTTGTTCAGAATTCACTTTTTTGTATGAACTTTTGGCTTGTTTGGAAAAATCTGACAGTAAATACGAACGCTTATTTGCACTGTTTTGTTCAGAATTCGCTTCTTTGTATGAAGTTTTTGCTTGTTTTGAAATTCCCACAGTAAATATAAAGGCTTATTTGTACATTTAATTAATAAAATACTGGTTTGTCTGTGTCTAAAAATAATTCTCCGTGTCTAAATGAAATTAGAGTCACTTTAGGTCTATCAGACCCTTACAAAACAAGACCAGCTTAAGCCCCCCTTTTGATAAACCAACCAAAGGTGTACGAGATGTTAATGGATCGCTAACACTGATTGGATGTTGATTCTGGTTGTGTTTGGACGATAAAAGGCCCCTGTCATCTGCCACATTACATTGCATTACACAGCGTAGAGTCTTATCACCGAACCACATCGTCAACATGAACTAATGGACCCCACTAATGTGCTCCTGATTGAAAGGCTGAGTTTAGGCTGTGGCTTCACTAATTCAATAGAGTAAACAGACTGGTGCACAAACACGGGCAAGGACAAGTAACCTCAGCAAGCCACAAAATCTGATTAGACATTGTGTTGTTGTCATTCTAATGAAGATGCTAAATATACAAACGTTCATATCCACAAGCAGGAAAAGCAGCTGGGGAAGTGGTTAAAGAACATTTACACATCAAAGGTGAACTATTTAACATTTGGTTGGGTTCCGTCTGTACTTGTTTTCATGGAGATGTCATTGCTGTGCCTGGAATGTTCCACAGTGTGACATTAAACACCTCTACCTTATGGCCTTGTCACACCTTGTCGATTTAACGTATGCTGATGTACCAGAATTTCCCTAAAAGGCTGGCATACGCTGAACTATTGTTGTTGTTGTTTTTTTGTTTTTTCAATTTTCATAAAAAGTTTGACATATACATAACATATTAGTAACTTAAATAGAAGTGTGAAGAATCCCTCAGTTGTCCAGGTAGAATCTACGAGGAGGAGAAAAATCAGTTTATCGACTGGACAAAAGTTAGTTTGGTTGAAGACGTTCCGCAGCTCATCCAAGCTGCTTCTTCAGTTCTGGTCAGACACTTCTTTATATCTGTCTGCAGGGAGGACCTAACTAACTACCGTATTTTCCGGACTATAAGAAGCGCTTTTAAGCCTCTAACCCCATCAAAAAACGGCCTTGCGCCCCGCAATCCAGAGCGCCCCAGCACGACTTCAGTAAACTACAAAGCCGCACCACCCGCAGCGCACATAAACACACACGGAGCAGACAGCGGCCGCACAGCGAAAAACACCCACAGCCGCACTCATCGCTCCACGCCGACGAGGAACGGAACGGAGGAACGAACCGAAAAAGCGAGTGCAATGTGCCACTCTGAGCCACAACTGAACAACTGAGTCACTGCGAACACACCAACAATCCAGCGGTCCCAGACAGCACCCTCCCTACACGCCACAACTGAACAAAGCCCAGAGTCACCGTGAACGAACAAACAAAGTCCCACTGACCCATCCAACTGTTGTGTTTCGTTTAAAGTCCGGTGCGGTTTATTTGTGAAAAAAGTTTGAAAATAGACCATTTAATGACAGTGCGCCTTATAATCCAGAGCGTCTAATAGCCCGAAAAATATGGTAGTCTGAAACTAATACACCTACTTTTTTACAGTTTCTGTTAGTTAGTTAGGCCTACTGACCTCTACTGGATGTGGGGTCTAACAATTGTTAGCGTAACAATTCAGGGTCATAATGGTGCTCCCTCACCTCTGGACCTGACCTGGCTACACCAATTGTTCTCTTGTTTGTTTTGAATTAGGTTTGGGTTAACTTTTGTCCAGTGGACAAACTGATTTTTCTCCTTGCCATCTTATATAGAGCATTTTGACAAGTTATACCAACTAATGCTTAGCGTGCTGCCAGCATCCACAACTTATGCCCAATGCATCGCGCACGGCAGCGTACTGCCAACGTATCTCCAACGCTCACATCTCCTCGCCTATAAAAAGGCTGCCGCTTGACGATTCATAAAAGCTCTAAAGATCGCAGTCGCAACATTAATCAGCATCATGCCGAAGACAGCTGCGAACCATGAAGTCTGGAGGAGTACTGATGGTTTCCTCCCCATTTTTATATACCAACTTCCCTACATGTTCAGTAAGTTCTGTGGTCGTCAGAACATGTCAAATACGTCTGCATGTGTCAATATGTGTTGGAGATAAGTTCGATATAAGTTACACATAAGTTCAAAGCACGTTACTCATAAGTTATGGGTACGTTAGACATTATCTATTTAGTATTTGGTCTTATGAGTAAATTACAATTAACATGTATGAACGGGTGTCAACGACCACATAACTTACCTTCAACTTATGGCCCATGTTTGCTCAAAATCTTTCGACCACCTTGCCGTATGTGGACATATGCCAGCGTGCTTCAGCGAGCTCAGAACTTACACAAAACTTACCTATAACTTATTTGACAATCAGACTAAGCAATAACATCTGCATGAAGAAAAGTTACACAATGCACCTTTAACCACAAACTTAGACCTGTCATGAATAAAATGTTGAAGCAGGATAATCCCAGTACAAAAATCTGTATCCATGATAAATATTGTGGCCCAAAATATACAGTTCCAGCCTTTTTACACTGAAGTCTATGTCGTAATTATCCTGACAAGTCTAATCATAATGATGTTTAGCAGTGTTTTTTTGTGAAGGTTTTCAAAATATACACTTGATATTAAAATGTTCTAATCAAAACAAAAGTTGTAATGTTGAACACAGTGCCCCTCTACGCTCATTACTCCCCACACGAGTTTATGACTTTATAATTCTTCAGCACTTACTTGTACTTGGCATTGACTTCATCCGCCGCTTTGTGATAGTTTTCAGTGGTGACCTTGTAGAACTGAGCGCTCTGCAACAGAGAGAGAGAGAGAGAGGGAGGAGGGAGGGAGGGGAGGGAGGGAGAGGAAGAGGAGAGAGGGAAGAGGGAGGGAGGGAGGGAGGGAGGAGAGAAGAGAGAGAGAGAGGGAAGGAGGGAGGAGAGGAGAGAGAAGAGGGAGGAGAGAGAGAGGGAGAGGAGGAGAGAGGAGAGAGAAGAGAGGAGAGAGAGAGAGAGAGAAGGAGGAGGGAGGGAGGAGGGGAGGAGAGAGGAGAGGAGAGGAGAGAGGAGAGGGAGAGGGGAGAGGAGGAGGGAGAAGGAGGGAGGGAGAGAGGAGGGAGAGAGAGGGAGAGGAGAGAGGGAGGGAGGGAGGGGAAGGAGAGGAGGAAGGAGGAGGGAGGAGGGAGAGGAGAGGGAGAGGGAGGGAGGGAGAGGAGAGGAGAGAGGGAGGGAGAGAGAGAGAGAGAGGAGGGAAGAGAGGAGGGAGAGGAAGGGAGGAGAAGGAGGGAGAGAGAGAGGGAGAGGGAGAGAGAGAGGAGAGGAGAGAGGAGGAGGGAGGAGGAGAGAGAGGAGGGAGAGAGAGGGAGAGAGGAGGGAGGAGGGAGAGAGAGATGGAGGGAGAAGAGAGAGGGAGAGAGAGGAGAGAGAGAAAGAGGGAGGGAGAAGAGAGAGGGAGAGAGGAGGAGAGAGAGGAGAGGAGAGGGAGGAGGGAGAGAGGAGAGAGGAGGGAGGAGAGGAGAGAGAGAGAAGAGGAGGGAGGAGAGAGAGAGAGGAAGAGAGGGAGAGGAGAAGAGAGGAGAGAGAGAGAGAGAGAGGAGGGAGAGAGAGAGGAGAGAGAGAAGGGAGAGAGAGGGAGAGAGAGAGAGAGGAGGAGAGGGGAGAGAAGGAGGAGAGAGAAGGAGGAGGAGGGAGGAAGGAGGAGAGAGAGGAGAGAGAGGAGAGGAGGGAGAGGAAGAGGGAGAAGGGAGGGACGAGAGAGAAGGAGGAAAGAGGGAGAGAGGGAAGAGGAAGAGAAGGAGGGAAGAGAGAGAGAGACAGAGGAGAGAGAGAGAGCGAGAAAAAGAGGGAGAGGGAGGGAGAGAGAGGAAGAGAGAAAGCGAGAGAGAAGGAGGGAGAGAGAGGGAGTAAAAGGTAGAGGGAGGGAGAGAGGGAGGGAAGGAGATGGAGAGAGGGAGACAGGAGAGAGAGGAGACAGAGGAAAGGAGAGAGAGGAGGGAAGGAGAGAGGAGAGAGAACAGAAGAGAAAGGAGACAGGGAGGGAGGGAGTGCGAAACAGAAAAAGAGAGAGGGAGAGATCGAGAGAAACAGAGAGAGACGGAGAGCAAGCGAAAGAGAAGATAAGAGAGAGAGAGAGAAAGAGGATAAGAGAAAACGAGAGAGGATGAGGGAGACAGAGACAAAGGGAAAGAGAAAGAAAGGAGGGATGAGAGGGAGGGGGAGGGAGAGGAGTCAAACGTGAGTACAGCTGTGATTATAATCTTTACACATAAAAAAAAAAATAAAATAAAATCTATCCAATTTATTCCACGGCTCCATCCTCTTTTCCATTAAGGCAACAAGGGAACACTTTAGTCCAGACCTGCAGCCGAAGCTTCACCAAGACCATCAACCGTCACTCAAACTATATTAAAACTTTATGAGAAGGTGTCTGGAAGATATTGGGGTCAAACATGGTAAATATTTAGTTTAGTTATCCATATAAGTGCGTTTTTCGGCTAAGAGAGCGGCGAAAGCAATAAAAACGTCGGCGCCGGGAGCCTTTTAGCCTCGTGGTCGTTATTGTGGTTATTTGGATGGGAGTGTATACAAGCTTATGCAGCCACAAAAGACTCTTGTAATAACACGGCGCAATCCTGTAAGGGTCAGAGGTCGCCGATGGACACGACGGCGGGGCGGGGCAGCGGTCATCATTCCCCCCGTGACCCGTCGCAAATGAACCCACTCAGCGTGAATTACCTCGTCAAACGCGCGCGCACATAAACCAGGGGCCGCACTGCAAAAAAATACATTTCAACTTGGACACAGAAGGAGAAGATGAGAAGATGAGGAGTAGGGGTGTGCAAAAATATCGGAATATCGACATATCGTATCGTCTAATGTGATGATACAGTGTCGATATCGTGGGCTGCTGTATCGATATATCGTCAAGAGTATTTTTTGGTAAATTTTACTGAATTATTTTGTTACAGAGCTACAGTTTTGTTGTTTGTTTAGAGGAAGGTCTAAACCAGGACTAAACCAGGACTAAACCAGGTCTAACCCAGGTCTAACCCAGGTCTAAACCAGGACTAAAACAGGTCTAAACCAGGTCTAAACCAGGGCTAAACCAGGGCTAAAACATGTCTAAACCAGGTCTAAACCAGGGCTAAAACATGTCTAAACCAGGTCTAAACCAGGACTAAAACAGGTCTAAACCAGGTCTAAACCAGGTCTAAACCAGGACTAAAACAGGTCTAAACCAGGTCTAAACCAGGGCTAAACCAGGGCTAAAACATGTCTAAACCAGGTCTAAACCAGGTCTAAACCAGGTCTAAACCAGGACTAAACCAGGTCTAAAATTAAACCAGGATCTAAAACAGGTCTAAACCAGGTCTAAACCAGGTCTAAACCAGGGCTAAAACATGTCTAAACCAGGTCTAAAACAGGGCTAAAACCAGGTCTAAACCAGGTCTAAACCAGGACTAAAACAGGTCTAAACCAGGTCTAAACCAGGTCTAAACCAGGACTAAAACAGGTCTAAACCAGGTCTAAACCAGGTCTAAACCAGGTCTAAACCAGGACTAAAATATGTCTAAAACAGGTCTAAACCAGGACTAAAACAGGTCTAAACCAGGTCTAAAACAGGTCTAAACGATGCTGTGTGGACCGTGTCTCCTCTTCCTCTTCTATCAATAATATTTTAATACGGTTGAGTAAAGTCTGGGCTTTTTATTGTCTTTTATCAGACAAAACATCTTGTATTACGATATCCTAGTCTTTGCTTCTCTACAGCAAACCAAGTAATCCAAAGTATTCAGATTACATTACTCACTTTAAGTAATTTAATGGATTCCGTTACAAACTACAGAAAGTTTTGTGTGCCTGATTGTTAGTGGTGGTCATCGGTAGAGGTATGCAAAAATATCAGAATATCAATATATCGTATCGCCTAATGTGATGATACAGTGTCGATATCGTGGGCTGCTGCATCGTTATATCGTCAAGAGTATTTTTTGGTATATTTTACTGAATTATTTTGTTACAGAGCTACAGTTTTGTTGTTTGTTTAGAGGAAGGAAACTCGTTTATGCGACACATTTGACATTTTCACTGTTTTGATGATTAAAATGTTTGTGTTTCATATTAACTTTGCACAAAAAGTGATTTTACAAAGACTTTTAGTATCACAGCCATGATTTTGCCTTTATTTTTACCCATATTGAATCGATTTGAAATATATCATATCGAATCAAAAGTCCACTGAATCAAGATATGTAACATATCGTGGCCTGTGTATCGAGGTATGTATCGTATCGGCAACTTCTTAATGATACCCAGCCCTAATGAGAAGAGTGAAGGGGACGATGAGATGATTAATTTTTAATAACTCAATTAAATCATTGCATTTATATAGTGCACCTAAAGAGCTTTACAGTGCATCAGTCATTCTCTCCACGCATAGGCTACATTTACACCGAAATTAATCACTGTATCACCGTACTGGAAACGATTTGCATCCAGATACATCGTTTGTGTCTGCAATCAAAGCCTTTCCTAACCACACAGTAAAGCGAAATGGCCTGAAACGCTGGTCACATGACGAGGCTGGCGTCACAATGTCACTTGGGCGGTAAAAAGAAGGAAGTGGGGCACCGTGTCTGAAGTTGCAGAAGCCGATTTCGAGCCGAGGAAGACGGCAAGCGTGAAAACAGTCTTTTCGTGGACCGACAACGATGTTCAGTTGTTACTACATACTACATATTTTTAAGATGAGCATGGCGGCTCAGAGTGTGGATGACTGATGACATGAACCCAGCAAATCAGGAAGGCGCAAGTGATAGTGACATGGTCCAACAAGGACGGCAACTAGAGCTCCTACGTCAATGTATCAATGTTTTCAGTCGTCCACACAATGCAAGATCAGATCCATACTCAGATGAATTCGTGGGAGTTGGCGGCACCAGATTATTCCGTCTCTCGAGCCGTTTTCCATGGGATTAGTGTGGACGAACACCGCATCCACAACGAAAACGACTCGCGTATGTACTAGCGTTAATGAGGCCTTAGCAGTGGCAACATACTACTGCACCTACAGCTCCTCCAGGGTAGACCGCACTGCAACAAAGCGTGGCCAAAATTTAAGATATAAACACTTAAATCTATCAGAAAATGACCTAAAAGTAGTGAAATTATCTGTCCATGCAACACGATGATTTTAAGATAAGATAAAATAAGATAATCCTTTTGTGACAAAGACGGCCTTTGTCCCCATTTTTCACCTTAGTTCAGTTACATCTATCTGTATCAACTAAACAGCTAAATAATAACTATCCCGGGTTTGTTTTATTTAGTCTTTGTTTAATTGATCACATTCACACAGTTACGTTAAATTCATTTTATTTGGTTATATCCCTTCATTTTTGTTTAAACTTACCACCTTTACCTGTGACTCCACATGGTCTGGGAACAAAAGAGGGGGCGTGTCCTTTGGCAGCCATATTTATAGGCTCAGGGGGAGGTGTTGGCCCAGACCATGTGGAGGGAAGCCTCAGAAATGGTTCTCTTTGTTTTATCAAATGGGTTATTAGAATTTTGGTTTCAGTGTATCTAGTTAAGTTGGAGCACTGTTCAGTTTAAAAGGGGGATTAGGCTTCAGAAAATAATTTAAGGCAGCACCAGTAAGGAAAGGAAATTGCTACAGTTTTCCCCGTAAGTTGGTGTGAACCCAGGGGGAGGGACTTCCTCTCTGGGGGGTATATAAGTAGAGGCAGTTTAATCAGTAGGGAGGTCACCATCAGTGCAGCCAGGTGCCTGTGGGTATTTTCTTTTGTTGC